GACTCAATAAAGAAAGCCACAACCTTGAGTATGCAAGAGCAAATCAGGGTTTTTAATGATAGGACATTTTGGAAGTCACTCATTTGTAGATTCATCATAAGGCAGAGGTGACCTGACAGCACACAACACCACCAATGTCAATGTCCCATGTCACCAGAAATGCAGTATTCTCAACCATACTTGAGACAGCAAGCTAGTTCAAGGGACCTAAGACTGGTTGCACCGCATAGACAGCTTTGTCTCCTGCCAGAGAAGAGCAACAGAGTTCTTGAGGAGCATGCAGGAGACTGCCAATGTCACTCCTGGATGAGCTGCCTCACACTTTCTTCCATAGTTCCCTACATAGTCTCTCTAGAAACTTGAGGTTTATACCAAGAACACTGCAGTGTACCAACATAGCACTTTTAATCATAAGTCCATATTCTCCTTACTAATTGCTGATGAGAGGCCCTTCACATATGGCTCTTTGAAATTATTCAGCTTTCTGTTATATTCCTTCATAATGAAGCCAGAATTAGCTTTAAATTTTGATAGTCATTTGTAATATAGCTGCCTCTTTCTGTATAAGGCCATCACCCATAACACTTTCAAGGTTGTTCTATGAAGCAATAAACTCTGAAGAAGAAACGGTGGGCCTGGAGATGAGGGTACAAATTAAGCTTGCAGAAGTAAATATGTGTGATATAGTTATAATAGAAACACTGGCAGCTAACAATATGTTGTTTACTTCTTCCTATAATAGAGCATTATAAGGTTTATTGTTTTTTGAGTTAAATGTTTCTATACAATTCTTACACATATTACTAGCCAGCGAATTTCAGCGGGACTCACTCCTAAAAAAATACTTAAAGAGGAAGAAGGCTGTCGCAGTCCTCAAACTTGCTGGAGGAGGAGGTGCTTATGGAGAAATGGAAATGCCTTTCCATTCAGCTGACAAGCTCTTCTGAGGGCCAACTTGCACCTGTGAAAAATTCACCGCCTCAACATGTATACCAGCAATGAAGCCCCAAGCAGGATATGCCAGGAGGAACATTTCACCATTCATCTGTAAGTCTCCAGGGTCAGACCTACAGCTGGTATATCTGCCTCAGTCTGGTACAGCTGAAACGAACAGAAATGGGGAAGAGAGATGGGTGGAAGGGAAAGAGATATATAGAGAGACTAACAATGTGATCAGATGGTGGCATAAACATTGCTTTGGATCACTCCAGAAAGGGATGTTTCCATGGGTGATCTCAAGAGACCTTTAAAATTATCTTTTGTCCTGTGTCTATCACACCAGCCCATTCCAAAAAAAGTTCAGCCCTGATGCTGGACTAGAAAAGGTCAAAGCTAGGCACAGACCAGTGTAGGGCTGGTGTACAGTAGAGTGAACCAGACTATGCTGTCAGTACTCCAAAAAGCAATCTGAAGAACTCTAAGTGTGCTCCTGATGTCAACTTTGGCTAATGTGAAAGGCGTTTGGTATTGACATATAATCCCTCACCCTTCTTTCCAATTTAGAATTCCTTAGCCAGGCTGCAGCCCCTTGGTCACATAGAAATTTTGGTGTATCTGGTTGTAAGGGATTAGTTTTCAGAACCACATCCTTCATTTAAAACAAAAAATGAGGTTATATAATCTCAAATGATGAATGTTTAGTTTACTCCACTCCTTTACCCCTTTAGAAGCCTTCACTTAATGTTAACCATTTGCCATATGCAGAGCATATCTTGAAGACATTAACAATCATTACTAAATGTGAATTGCCAGAAGGATACTCAAGTTTATTCGTAATGGAGACAAACACTCTGCATTTGGTTGAATGCTACAAATGGCTGAACATTTGGTGCCCTAGGCAAAGCTTTCAGAGAGAGTTCATATGGTTTTGCTAGTTATAATCAGCCCAACTCAAATTATGCATAATTTGGTTTTCACGGTTGGGTCTTAGATCACATAAAGTCAAATATAATTACTACAAAGGAGAATTCTACATGCATTTTAGGGCATTCACTGTGGACTTATGGCATGCTAGAAGAAGGATCTGCAATTACTAGGAAATTATTTAAATACGTTTTATTGTTTTTCCTCAAAGGCATGTGAAATTGCAGTGAGTAATCACAGGAACTGCGGTAAATGGTCATTGGTTTTTAGTGTTATTATAAAATTAAAGAATTATCAATTGGTATGTTTCTATCTTGTGAGGGCAAAAGTGTTCTAATTTTTTAAAGAATTTGGAAATGGTAAGGGAGGGACAGGAATGGCAGGAATACTAAAGTAATCCTTGTTTTGGCCAAAGAAATAAAATACTGTATACAGATTGTTTCAGAAAGTTTCCAGTGTCTCCTGCTCACATTTTACTAGCTAATAGGGCAAACCATAGAAATTGCCATAAGAACATATCAGCTTTTATTCTAATGTAAATAGTTTAAAAGTATGTTAATTAGCAGTGTCTTACTGCACTCCATACAGGCCATTTAGTTGTTCATAAAAGCAGCACCAAAACCAAGCCACATATATTAAAATATTGCACAGCTTTTTAATATGTACATATTACTTTCCTAAGTTTCTATTACAAAGTGTTAGATAAATTTGTCTGTTATGTGCTGTCCTGTCACATCTGAATTACAGTGATCCTAACAGAGCTATTAAGGTAAGTGAGGTATTTAAGGAACGGTTTTATCATTTAGCAGTTCCACCCATCCCAGTGAGGTACTATGGCCCAGCAGGGATTCAAGCCCAGATTTCTTGAATCCTATTCCATCACGCTACCCAATAAACCATGCTGAGTATCCCATATAAACTTGCAAGATTAAAGTGTAGCTCACGATTATCCATTTTTTTTTTATTTCTACTACTTTTTCAAAGGTTTTATAGTTTATATTTAGGCAAAATATTTCAATTTGCTCTGATAAATTTGGACAGTTTTGCTTCTGTTCTTCTTTTTAAGCGTAGAGGTGCAAGCATAACATGTTTGTTAACACTTGACGGTGAGTCACTGCCCTTGCCAACACTCAAGATAAGAAAAACGCATGTGTTTTATAAAAGTTTTTTCCTATGAACTCCAGGGTCTGTAGAATGAGACCTTACGGCACAGTACTGTATCTTTCATTTACCTATCATGTTTAATTGAAGTGACTTGTAAATAAAATAATGTATATTTTATGCTTTTACGTTGCTTTAAAAAGTAACAAATGTTAAAAACTGGCCATAATACTGTATGTATAAATCTTCCAGAATGTAATGTGCTAGTTAAGGCAGTTACTCAACTTCAGGATAGAAGTCCAGATTTAAGTTCTTTTCATGCAAACCTAAGCTCTCCTCTCAAGGGACACACATTCCCCTACTATGGGTTGAAGGACCATCTTCAGGGCATCAGTTTGGACTATTCCAATCCAAACTATTGTTTGTTTGTTTGCTTGCTTTTTCATTTTTAGAATACAAAAGGCTGGGCCAGTGAAAATGTATATATGTGTAAATGCTGTTATTAATTAACGTATGAGGGAGATCACCTCTGCCAGGCCATCTGCTATTGCCTCATTCCCTCCTGGAGGGCCTCTCAGAGACAATGTCTGCTGGGCCTCTGGCAGGAAGTGAGGCTGGTTGACCAGCTTGCAGGAGTGGAGAAGCCTGCTGATGAGAGCCACCTGGATAAGAAAGCAGGGAGAAGCCTCTGTAGCCATTTATACAGAAAAAAGGTGGGATAAGGAGAGCAAGTGGAAGTGGTGGAGGAAAGGCAGGAGGAGCTGGTAGCAGCTGGAGGAGAGGAGATGGAGACCTGCACCACAGGGAATAGGGTGATGTCACAGAGAAGCCAGAGTCAGCCCTGTACATGTATCAGATCTATGACTGTGCCTACACTGAAGACTGCTGGACTCGGATGCTGGTTCAAGTTCATCCATCCAGAGGAAAAAGTCATAGAAGGGGGCTTGAAGTTGGGGCTTGTGAACCACAGCCTGCTGCCTGTTGTTGTTGGAGACAGCAGTCACAGTCAGACCATCCTACCCCTTCCCCAACTCAAAGAAGGTGCTGGAGGTGAGAGTACCAGAAGGTGTAATAGTGACACCACCTATCTGATGGCCATCTGACAGTACAAGTCTTCTCTGTGGAGTGTGAGTCAGTTGAGCTGAACCTCTAGGCTTCTACCACTACCTGAACTGTAGACTGGGCCATAAATACTCCACTCCCAAAGGCAACTACACCAGAGCACAGAGTGCTGTCCTCTGAAGATGCCGGCCACAGAGACTGGCGAAATGTTAGGAAGGACAACCTTCAGAAAACGGCCAAAGAGCCCGAAAAACCCACAACAACCAATAGCCAATGAGTTTACCAGTATCTATCAAAGCAGCTTTGCAATGTTACTGTTAGCCTTAATTTAAAGGCCCGTATTTTGATACCTTCTTGCTATAATTGCTTAGTAATCACATGTCTAGCTAGAGGATGAGAGTTGGATTCTCCACTGTGTCTCTATGACAGGGGCTGAGTTCGATGATCCATAGGGTCCCTTCCAGTTCTGTAGTACTAAAGATGATGATGTGTGTTATAACCTGCCTTTCCTCACTGAGGAAACCATGTCTAACTCTCACCCTATCCCCCCTGGCTCTTTTTCTCTGAATCCACTTACAACCCTGAAAAGGAGATCAGCCTGACAAAAGTCTGCTTGGCTTAAGGTCCTCTGACGAGTTTCATGGCTCAGTGAGGAACTCAAATGTTGGTCACGTCCCAGGCCAATACTCAAGACTAGTATTGTATGCCACACTGCCCGGGCCATTTTCTCTCACTCTCTCACAAACAAGCGCGCGCGCACAGGCTCTCCCTCTGCCAACTACTGTAACTTGAGAGTCACTTTCTATACACCGAATGAAGCGTGCTCTGGTCACCGACGGCGCGCCGTTGCCAGAGCCACCACTACTCTAGCTCCGGAGTGGCTCACACAAGGCTTTGCTTGTTGTGTGGGAGGCGAGCCGCCGGGGCCCCGGCGAGGCTTCTCGGCTGAGATTTGTTTTGCGTCGGTCTTTCTCCGCTTCGTCTCCCAAGCCCCAGCCAGCCATCTAGGCTCCCCTCAGCTCCTCTCCTCCTCCTCCTCTTCCCCTTCCCCTTCCCAACCAGCCAACCCTCCCCTCCGTTTTGTTGTTATCACATGGGAGGAGGCGGGCTCGGCTGGTCCAGGCAGGCGCTGGGGGAAGGAGGCGGAGGAGGAGGAGGCGGCGGCGGCGGAAAGTTTGGCGAAGCGTCTGGAGTTGGCGGCGCAGCGGCGAAGCTTCGGCGGTGGGTTTAACGCGAGGTGGGGGGGCATGAAGGAGAGCCCCCGACGGCCCTGATAGCCGTGGAGGAACGGGAGGCTCCGCGCCGCTTTCTAGCCCGGTGCGCTGAAGGCGCGAAGAACTCCGGCCATGGGCTCCGCCGCGCACCTCGTTTGGCGGCGGCGGCGGCGGCGGCTCCTGCTGCTGCTGCTGCTCCTTGCCTGTAGCTTCGTTCGCGTGGGACTGGCTGGAGGGTGTCCTGCGTCGTGCCGCTGCCTGGGGGAACTCTTGGACTGCAGTCGTCTCAAACTGCACCGAGTGCCCGAGCCTCTCCCGGACTGGATAGTCCAGCTGTAAGTATCCGAGGAGCGCCGCCGCTGCCAACGGGGAGAAGGAGAAGGCTTTGGGCTCCTTTGCCTCGGCGGCCAGTTCGGGGTGCCGTTACGGGTCTCCGGCGCTAGGGGGCGCCCTGGGCTTCTCGTGCCTATTCGTCTTCCTGGCGTGTCTCTCAGTGGGGCCAGGCGAGTTGGGGTCGCGTCTTGGGGGTGCCTGTTTCTCCGTCAGAGCTTGGGAGCGTGACTTTTGTGGGAGGTGGAGGCCAAAAGTAACTTTCCACGTGGTGGTGTGTCTTGAAGGCTAGTGCTGGAGGCTAAAGGCCCTGCAGAAGTTTCCAGGTCCCAGGTTTTATGCCCCAGGGGCTGATTGATTGAGGTATCACAGATTTATCTTTTGCCTTTCCTCCAGGGAGCTCAAGGTGCTCTGTATAGCTCTCCTCACTCACACTTTGTCCTCACCATAGGCCTCCCAGGCTGAGGCTGCCACTGGCCCAAAGGGAGTCCGTGATCTTCCTTGCCAAGTGGGAACTTGAATCCATGTACCCTCAAAGGGTTGGACAGTGTCATCGAAGCGACCAACATGAATTTGGCCCAACTCCAGGAGGCAGGGGAAGACAGGAGGGCCTGGCGTGCTCTGGTCCATGGGGTCACAAAGAGTCGGACACGACTTAACGACTAAACAACAACCCTCAAATGGTGGTTTTTCTGACCACTGCACTCCCGTCCTCTTGAGCCTCGCCTGCCAGTGGCCACTTGGCCTCAGAAGCAGAGGTGTGGTCTTTGCATGCTCACCCTGGCAGTGGCCACTTGGCCTCAGAGTACTGGAGAAGAAGCAGAGGTGTGGTCTTTGCATGCTCACCATCTGTGCCAGAGAAAGCCAGTGGAGTGGGGTTGGACCCAGTCCTAACTGCTGCACCACCCACCAGCAAGGGGGCAGCACAGGAAAGCCTGGGGTGGCAGCAATCCTAGCAGTCTCTGCAGCACCACCCAGAGAGGGAGAGGGAAAGAGAGAAGTTGAGCAATGATGTGGCTCTCCTCCTGCTCTGGACACCACAGAAGGAAGTTCTAGATTTCTCAGCCATTTCAGAGACCCAGAAACATGGGAGCAGATAAGAGGTGAATCTATCTCTGTTCATTCCTCTTCCAGGAGGAACAGGGGGGATGCTGTCCCTGCTCAGAGGAAGAGCTGAAAGCTGGCTTGTTTGCTGGGCAGTGATGGAGAAGATGATCATGGGACTGTAGCGGTGGTGGTGGTCTTGCTTTAGAAAGCATAGCCGTTGGGTTTATGAACATGGTGGTTCCCCAGCTGTTGTGGTTCTAAGAAGGAGAGAACAGCCAGTGGCTGCTGAGAGAACAGCATTCTGCCATGTATCCACCAGCTCAGTGAGCAAGGAAGGCAGCAGTTTCAGAGACCCAGAAACATGGGAGCAGATAAGAGGTGAATCTATCTCTGTTCATTCCTCTTCCAGGAGGAACAGGGGGGATGCTGTCCCTGCTCAGAGGAAGAGCTGAAAGCTGGCTTGTTTGCTGGGCAGTGATGGAGAAGATGATCATGGGACTGTAGCGGTGGTGGTGGTCTTGCTTTAGAAAGCATAGCCGTTGGGTTTATGAACATGGTGGTTCCCCAGCTGTTGTGGTTCTAAGAAGGAGAGAACAGCCAGTGGCTGCTCTCCCTTGCTCATTCTGCCATGTATCCACCAGCTCAGTGAGCAAGGAAGGCAGCAGGCAGGCAGCCATGCTTAACTCTTCATCATGGGACTGTAGCGGTGGTGGTGGTCTTGCTTTAGAAAGCATAGCCGTTGGGTTTATGAACATGGTGGTTCCCCAGCTGTTGTGGTTCTAAGAAGGAGAGAACAGCCAGTGGCTGCTCTCCCTTGCTCATTCTGCCATGTATCCACCAGCTCAGTGAGCAAGGAAGGCAGCAGGCAGGCAGCCATGCTTAACTCTTCTCCTACATCACCTTCCCAGGTAATACCCTGAGCATCAGGGCTGTACTCCATGGACGTTAACCAAAATAAAACATGTTAGACTTTAAGGTGCTGTAAGACAGTTATTTCTGCTTCTTGCAATTGGCATGTTGGGTTCTTTTCCCCACCACTACACATAAGGAAGGGAGAGAAGGCCACATCCTTAAGCTGTTTTCTTCTTTGCCTGCACGGCCTCTTTCTGATTCAGTGAGGGTGGAGGAGAGGACATGCTTTCTCAGGGATGAGAGAAGCCCTACAAGCTGACCAGCAGACCTCCCAAGGCCTTTCCCTGGCAGGTTTCCCCACCTATGGTGAAGATTTTGGTGCTTATTGCTCCTAGAGGTTGCACCAAACTGTCCACATGCTTTTGAGCACTGACATTTTGAATCATATTAAAACGTTTCGTTCATTCAGAGAAGGTGTATTTATTTGATTTTTATAATTTATGTATCATATTTCCTTCTTTTAGCTCCCCTTCCTCTCCACTTTATCTTCTCCATAACCTTGTGAGGCAGGCCGGACTGAGAGGTTATCAGCCCATATTCCTCTGTGTGGTTCACAGCCAAGTGGGGGATGTGAATCTGGCACTCTGCATCATGTAGAGGCTAAGTCTATTGTGTAGAACTATCATTGGAACGATGTTTCTATTCTATCTTCCATTTCCCCCCAACGGTGATAGGAGGCTTTGGAAACATTTAATACCTATTTAATACATTTCACAGTCCAAGAAGAGAAAACATTTGTTTTGTATCATATTCATATTATATATGTATTATAATCTTGTACAATGAGTCTACTTGTTTCCAGCGTTGTGACCTTGGGTATCTAGAATGGTTATATTGTGGTCTTTAGATGTAGCTCATGTCTGCCAGGTAGGAGTTTCCAGGCCTGTATGAACCAGTTTGGATGCTGTGCAAAGTAACTCTTTGTCTGGACATCCTTGCCATTTGAGAAGTAAGACAGAAATATAGTTTGGAAATAATACACTCTGAAGAAGGTGATCAAGGGTAATAGTAATATGTGTATTGAAATGCCAGTATGCAGATAGCCAAACCAGTAAATAAATGTGGCCACTGCATGTTTCAGTTGGATGGATGTAGAGTATGTTGACTCAGAACAAGGATGAGGAACTTTTGGTGACCAGATTCGATGCGGCTGATAGGATTTGAGGTCCTATCAAGGTAGATGGATGCAGGTTTTCTAACCCTTGTCTGTAGAGCAAGAGTTGTTAAAGTCTTGCCATCAATTTTTCTTTGTTTCTTCATTCAACGTGGGCATTTTTAAAGTGGGCATTTGCGGGGATGGGGGGAGAAAAGAGTACTGGCTGACAGTTCTTTAATTAGACCCAATATGGTTCCCAAGTAACATGCTAAGAACAGTTTCAGAAAAGCTGAGGGCCTGCATTTGTGTGCATGGGATTATTTATTGACTTCATAAAAATAGTTGCTATGATGTAACAGGTACCCAGTCTTCAAGATTTGGGTTTCATTTCCATCATAAAATGCCCAGTAGGAAAGATTTAGTCTATAAAAGCATGAGAGACGGATGTTAAAAAGATATCACAATTCAATATCTGATATATCTCTAAAAATCTACAGGAAAAAATAATAATAAAGAGCAGTGGTTTTTATTGTTGTTGTTAGAAAGTAGCTGAAATATTTTGTAACAGTATGCTTGTTGTTACTCTCCTGCCACTTCAATCACTTCTGGATTAGTTTATTAATTTTCTATTGCACTTCAGGAGCAAGTGCAGATAAGAACTTTAAAATAAACAGGAAGTCTTTCAATTAGTTGTGGCTAATTCTCCTCAATTGCCTCCCCTGGAGGTCATGTTTCTTTACTAAGGAAAAGTGGCTGATGTATTTGTAACACATGGTTTTTAGTCTGTGGATGATTTATGGTGGAATCCTATATATGTCTACTCAGATATATGTCCAACTGAGTTGTGTAGTGCTTACTCACAGAAAAAAAAATTGTATGAGTTTGCAACCACAGAGGACTGAATAATTGCATAATTGTTGCATTCATTCATTTATTTTGTATCTTGCCTGTCCACTAAAAATAGGGCTGTCAAGATGGTTTCTACTCCTGGAAGCAGATAGAACAGAGAACTCTTAATTAAAACCTAAAAACCATTTTAGTTAGAATATGTCATTTAAATACACTTCTTCATGAATGTAGACATGGGCAGAGAAAAATCTGGGAAGAAAAAGCTGGCACATTTTCCAAAGAAAGTGTTTATACAAATTGCGTAATTGTTTTTAACAGAGAAAACTGCTTGTAAAAGTCACTTTTTTTAAAAAAAAAAAGCTTGAATATGTGATAAGGAACATTTAAACACAGTTGTATTCAAGCTGAACTTCTGTACTGTTATAACATTGATAAACGAGTAGATATATGCAGGATTGCACTGTAAGGGAGCAGTTGTATACCCTCGTATTTGGGAGTAAACTCTGTTGATCTCTGTGGACCTTGCCTGCAAGTAGACTTTTATTGAATTGTGCTGTAAATGTGCTGGGCAGTTTCCCCAGACATCCATTCCAGGGTGGTGGTGGTGGCATTAGCCACATAGCAAAATAAGAGCAACACGGGATAAAATAGGTATTTCACATGAATGCTACTTAGGAATTTAACTGAATTATTTTTCAAGGTTGTTTTTTTGAGAAGAACATGAAGTCAACAGCAATAATAGCAACATATCTTAGTGGCAGTTAATTTAGTGACCACTAAAACAAACAGGTCTTCTGTTGTTGCTAGCACAGTGGAAGCTTTCTAATTGGATTTCCCCTGGAGACTTAAATTGTCCATATGTACATTCACATTCCTTTAAAAGAAGTGTGAAAAATTGACTCCACTTGTATAAATAAGCACTTGGCCTTTTGTAAGGAGCCCTGCTGTGATTGCTCATTGGGCAGCTGTGTCACTTGCTCTTAAACTCACAGGGTTGCATCTTTGTAGGTGTCACCATACCCTGTCGCCTGCTAGATTTTGTGACATGTTTCTTTTGTTTGAGCGAAGTGTCTTTAGAAGTTCCTGTTCATTAATTGCTTT